CGGCTCCCCCCGCCTCCTCCCCCGGGGTGCTGCCAGCCTCGCTCCCCCGCCCCGAAGGGGCGTTCAGCCCGGGGCGGAGGGAAGGGGCCGCAAAAGCGATCAGAGGGCTGGAGGACGGCTGCTGTGAGGAGAGGCTGAGAGCTGGGGCTGTTCAGCCTGGAGAAGAGAAGGCTGCGGGGAAACCTTACTGCAGCCGTTCAGTACCGGAGGGGGGGCCTACAAGAAAGATGAGGACAGAGTTTTTAAGCAGGGCCAATAGCAATAGGACGGGGGGTAATGGTTTTAAACTAAAGGAGGGTAGATTTAGACTAAACACAAGGAAAAAAATTTTCACGATGAGGGTGGTGAAACACTGGCACAGGTTGCCCAGAGAGGTGGTAGATGCCCCATCCTTGGAACCATTCAAGGCCAGGGTGGATGGGGCTCTGAGCAACCTGATCTGGTTGTAGGTGTCCCTGCCCGTGGCAGGGGGATGGACTAGATGGCCTTTAAAGGTCATACCAAACTTTCCATACCGAAGTGTTCTATGATTCTGTGAAGGGCTGTAAGGGTTAGAGCTAAACTTCGGGAACTTGCGGCAGGGATCAAACCTGGGAGCAGGGGGAGTTGAAATACAAACTCCCCCTTTCTCCCTCCACTAGATTTATTTGATTCAGGTCTGCTAACTTTGCACTTCTGGTCTCCAGGCTTTATCTCCAGGGCAATATTTGCAACAAATAGTAGAAAAGCTCACAGCGTGATCACCAAGGCACAAGAAACGGCCTTCCCTGTTGTCAGATCCAACCTGGGGGATTTTTGTCTGGTCACTAGCACTGCAAACCCTGCCAGTTCCTGGGCAAAGCTGCAGCAAGCTTTAACAGAAAGCACAGTTTAGGGCACAAATCCACGCTGATCTCCAGCAGAGTCTTTCAGAAGACGCCTTTGCTGAACCCGCAGTCGACACGTTGCATTGCAGGACCATCTCTTCTCTCTTCACCTCCGCAAGGGGAAGAGGAAGCCCCGATTTAGAACAGAAACAAACCACCACACCCTCACGACCCACCAGCAGCACGGTCTTGGGCAGGTATTTCCTCACTTCAGCAAGCGCTGCCTTGACTGCACAGTAGAAGAGGCCACCGGCGCATTTGCAAAGCTGCAGATGAAATCAGGGAAGAGGGAACACCACAGGACAGGGGTCCAGCCGAGTACAGCGGCTGTCATCTCCTAGAGGGGGCTGCAGCTGCGTTTGAGCAACGAACAGCGCACGCAGGAATGTCGAGCAGCGCCTGCTGATGCCAAACACTGCTCACCCACCCACCTTTTGGGAGGTCTCAGCACCCCTTGGCCAGAGCTCTCTGCCCACATCCAACACTTTCCAGTTCCTTTGGTGCCCACTCGTGGTCAGACAGCTCAGGAAGGAGGAGGTTTTTGGCTTCGCTCTGTAACGCACACTGAACCTCCCTTGGCGTGAAGGGATCCAGGCTCTGGGATCAGTATCCGAGTATCACACAGCTCCCCAATAGCTGTGTGTTTCCTAGACCACTTCAGTTTCATGCAGTCTTTCAGCTTTCCCCCAGAAGCCACATTTAAGCAGTTTTTGCCTGCATCCGACGACTCCCTGGTTTCGGAGTCTCTTTGGGAGCGCAGATCCAAGGCAGTTCCTTAGAACTCGGGAGCCGAGTGGAGTTGCCGCGACGCCGGGGTGCACAGGGTAACTGGAAGGGCAGGGCCCTGCCACAGCAGCGGCGCAAGATGTTCCGACACCGCCGCAGTCGAAGGTGTTCTCACGGATGGCAGCTTCAGTAAAGAGAAAACTAAGGAACCCGTTACCGATAGCGTGGTAACGACAGAGGGCACTTTTAAACACGTCGGGGGACAGTAAGGAGGTACTGGAACAGACTGGAATAACCAACAACCTGTGCGGTGTAGCAATTTGAATCCTTTTCCCCAGAGTTTAATCCCAGATCCCTTGTAGCTTCCAAAGTAGAAAGCCATTTTTTCTTCAGATATATCAGCAGATCATTAAATTATCTTTATGTCTTACTACAGAGGCGGAACAGTAGAAAGTCATTGTTTGTGGATTTTTTTTTGTTTCGTTGGTTTTTATTATTTTTTTTTTTTTAGAAGAACACTTCTGAAGTTATGGCATAGGTCCAACAATTTCAGACATTTTCCAATGTAAATAATGTTGTAGTCTTACTGGGTGTCTGTGCTGCTCTTAACACTTGAGCTCATCAGACATCAAATTTGCCCCGAGGGTGAGAAGCCTCCAGTACAATTCCCCTTTCCTAATTTATGTATAAGTAGCAACCAGGCAAAGGAGAAGACACCCGAGTACTTGAACTGCGAAGGCTGCAATACAAGCTTATACATTAAAGGGAACCCATGTTCTCCACCCACAGGACTTTTGCTGAAGAACACAGATCAACCAGCACACCACCTGGAGGAAGCCAGCGTTCACTAAGCTGCAGGTACGTGGGACTACCTGCAGTTAAAACCAACAAACAGATCAACCAAGGCTACCGGTAAACGTTTCGTAAAAGATTTATTTAAGTATCATTTATCACAAAGAGGAAAATACATATAAGATTAGAAGCATGCAACCATCTTCCACAGTTCTATTTTTTTTCTTTTTTTTTTGCATTCGCAGCACATTGTAATACAACTCCTGTGCCACCCTGACTTCTTCCTGGAAAATACGATGTTTCAAGACGTAGGATAACCAAAAACAACCCACAATAAGGTAAGATAACATAGGAGAAAAGTGCAAAGTAAAAAAAGTCACGTATATACCACATTCAAACCCCCTCCCCCTCCAAAAAACAGATAAAGGCAAACTGTCATTTCGCTGCACGATCAGATTGTCTTTATGAACTACTTTACAAAAAAATTAATATAAATTAAGGGCACGATCCTGCAGGCACTTATAATTGTAGCTAACTTCAATCATAGACTGGCTCAGTTGGTATTATTAAAAGCCACAAGTTAGTCACATGCATAAGTTCTTGCAGTATAAGGCCCTAAGGCAATAAAATGTTTAAGAGCATTAAGGAGAACAAAAATTAAAGCAAACAAAATCATTCCCAGATGTGTTTTGCTTAGTAAGTTTATATCAAACATATTTTAAACAGAACAGTTTGCTCCTAAAGCCCTGAATATTTCTATTACTTAAGCAGTTTTGCAAGATTAAAAAGACAAAACCCCCAGGAAGCTGGTACAGATGTTAATTAACATAAAAATTGCTTCAGGCAGGTATGTAGGGAGGTGGAGGTTCCTTCTCAGGCATCTTCACTGCCATTTCATAGGTTGGCAGAACATACTAAAAAGAAGACATTTTGAAGAGATTAATGCAGAAGGCTTAGGAATAAAAAAAAAAAAAAAACACATAAAAAACACAAACCCAGAACAAGAACATACATGCCTCACCAGCAACTTAATCCTCTGTTGCAGGCTGAACCTAACCCCAGGTCACTGATTCCACCCCACTGCCTTGCCACTTGCTTTTGCAAAGCGGCAAGGAAGGTTTTAACTGGTACAGTCAGAAAACTTCACTCTACTACAAGAAAAACATTTAAAGACTTTTCTCTACAAAACCTATTTTATGCACTATAAGAATGTAACTAAGAAATAACCCACCGTAACATTAGCTGCATTAACTTTTTTAATCTTCCCAGTCTTTGTTTAGAAAGCTTGTAAAGATATATGGATATGGTGGTTTTCTACTTCAAAATTAAACAATGCTGGTTCCTTTTACCTCAAAGAGAGGTTTTACCTGTGGAGGAGCTTCAAAAGCAGGGTACACAGCTATCTCTGGCAAATTTCTGTTGCTGATATATTTATAGCAGTTCCATACACAGTTAATTAGATATGCCTGAAAGAAGAGAGATTTCTCTTTTTAAAGACCTCATATGCATTAGCCGATTCAGAAATCAGATGCTGGATTACATTCATATGACAAAAAGGAGCATAAATCAACTTCGGTGATACATATCTGAGGAAACATTGCTACTTCACAGATTTAGCCACCTACTTATGTTGTTCCCCATTTAGCTTTGCTACCACAGTGATTCAGAGAGGATGAACTACACAGGTTTTAGCAAAAGTGTTCACAGATCCATTCAACTCAGCAGTGCTAATGAAATTAATCCCCAACTGGCTTATGCTTCTGTGGATCTCAGTCCAAACTTGCCAGGAGGAGGAGGAGAGGCCAACAGCACAATCCCACTCACCCCTGGTATTTGTTCAGCTACCAGTGTGTTCGCGCAACTGGGGTGGCAAGGAGAAGACGGTAGAGCAAAGTAGCCTGGACTTTAAGTCAACATTAACTGCTGTAGAAAGACATACTATCATGCTCTGATGAGGATTAGATTTTTTTATTATTATTAATCTGTATAACATTAATCTCTCTGAATTTTTCATTGGCAAGTTAGCACGTGGTTATACACAAAGCACCAAATTTCCCAATCAATACAAAAATATCATCTACTGTATTAGGCTTCCACTCCTGCCAGTCAGACATTCCTCTTGGACAAAGTATAGAAAATTAGTAAAATAATTTTTCATTACTTCATTTTTTTTTTCCTCTTAAATTCAATCTGAATGCAATATTGTCATGGCCAATATATATTATCAACTCATTTCTCTAAAATGCTTTGTCTGCACAAGTGTTTGTAATTCAAATGAATGCCTCTGTA